ATTATCCGATTTTACATATTTAGAAATCATAGCCAACTGTGGCAACCAACCAAATGCAAGATTTTGTAGACGAACATCCTGAAACATTTTGGTAAACCATACTCTACGTTTTCACTTACGGAAAACTCCGTTCCTAGTATATATTGGATATCCATTGAAGATTTGATATAAATATATCGGATAATCCATTGGATATCTGATATAAACATATCGGATAATCTATTGGACATCAGATATAAATATATCAGATATCCTACGGATGTCTGATATAAATATATCAGATCATTCGGTTAAATCCATTTGGATATTCGATTTAATAAGATAGATATCCGGATATAGTAATGCAGGTAAATAGATGGCAGATTAATCCGGATTGAAACTCTAAGTTAACAATTCATAATTAACAATTAGAAACTCCCATCACTAAGGATAAGGTAATGATTAGAGTTCCAATCCGGATAAATCCGTCATCCATTTATCCATATCTGAATTTATCCGGATATCCATTTACTATTGATATCCGGATAATCCGACAAATCTTCGGATAATTATCCGGATGTCAATAGTAAAAAGAGATATCCGAATAAATTCAGATCTGGATATCCAATAGATAAATGGATAAACGGATAATGGATAGGAACTCTAAGTAATGATGAAAAAGATGTAATAATAGTAGAGCTGTTAAAAAGCTTGTCGGGCCCTGTCCTTGAGTCGACTTCATACGAACTTTTTAGGACTGATTCAAACCTCTCCCCAGACAAAGTCCCATATGTGCATATACTCAGACTAGTATTTATTAATGCATCTTTAGGTACGTATGTTTTTTGTTCTAGAAGGGCATGTATGTGATTGACTAATTTACATCTCCAGAACAAAGTCCATATGCATGTCTTTTCTTCTAGAAGGGCATGCATAGATGTGATTGGCTAATTTACATGAGATCGATTTATTGTTATTACATGCACGGACTTGACTCAAGGACCGAGTTCTAATCGAAGTCCCTATTCACTGAGTCCGGACCGAACTTTTAACAGCCCTAAATAATGGGAAGAAATGAATAGTATTGCGTAAGGGTTGGTAATGAAGCGACATTCGACGAAAAATGTAGTAATCTGGCTCTCGTAACAGCTTTACTGCGGAGAAATGAGGTAATTCCTTTGTCAAAAATAATTTTGCGTAAAGCAACTTTATCTACTATATGCCGATGCGATTTGTCGATGATCAATTTTGCGTATTTTGTACAAAAAATTAACCAATTTAAGCAATTTAAGCTAGTATATAAATAATTTAAAGTTTAGTCATTGATCATTGATCTATTTAAGCCATTGATCCATTTATATTTGCCCACCTATATCAGGCAACAGATTCTATCACGAACTTTCTGTATGCCAATTTGTCGATCATCCATTTTTGCGTTTTTGAAAACTTTGTATATAAATGTTTGATTTCAATTCAATTTTACTGAAAGTATTCATAATTCTAAAAGACAATGATTTCATATAGCATTCAATTGTTCACTTTTATTTTCTCATTATCTTTATTCTATAAACTAACATTATGTTCGGAACATGAACCATTTTTATATAAGCACTCTCCTGATTATCTTATCAATAATCATTTTTTCGAAATTAGACCAGCAAAGGATGTTTTTTCTCTTGATGACATTAAACCTATAAACTATCCTGATAATTATACATTAAATCAATTATTTTTGCTTACTAGACATGGTAATTATTTATTCATATACACAACGAAAATTTGATGATATAAAGTAATTTTTTTTGGAAAACTATTAATTAGGATCGAGGTTTCCGATGGGAGACCAGATTCGAGCTTTTGATAAAATTGATAAAGCATTTGCAAATGTTTCCGTAGCAAAAGATTGGGTAAATTATGTTTTATTTAATACAGTATAGCAAATAGAAAGTATAATTTAAATAAAAAAAAAAACAATTTTTAGCCTAAAAATCCTTTCCCCATGGAAAAAAATTCTCGATTAATTACAAGAGGTAAACTCGAATCTTATTACAGTGGATTACAATCTCTTAAAAGATACGAAAAATTTTGGAAAAGTGTCGAATATGATGTTGATGTTGTAAAATTTCAGACTTCTAATATGTTTTGGTAAATTTGCGTATATTCATTACAATATTCTAGTCCTGAAGTTACATCTGATAGAAAATGGGCTCATTTAGAAGCCTTAAGAATTGTGATGGCTGAAACTGAGTTTATTTTAATATAAATTTAAAAGTTTTTTATTATGCGTATTTTTTTACTTTTTTTGTGTTTAGATTTAGGGTAGTTGTCGCGGATGATGCTGAAAATCATGTGATCACATGATGATCTTCTGCATAAACAACCTAGCATTACTATCGCAGTTGGTGTTAGAGTTAGGGTTAGGATATGGAAGGTTTTTTTTTATTTTGCATATATTACATCTAATTCCACTAGGGTAATTAAAATACGGCCATACCCAAACCCTAACCCTAACATTAACAGTGAAATTTTTAGTTGGTGATGCTAGGGTTCTATAGCACTTTAGGTTTGTTTATACGTTTGTTTATACGGAAGATCATCATGATTTTCAGCATCATCCGCGGCAATTATTAATAAAAGTAAAAGAGCATAAGTAAATTTTTATAGGTTTAATATGTTAGTAGATTACATAGTGCTCCAAATCCCAACTTTAGCCAATACCAGTTTCAGCTGTCACAAGTATTAATCTAAGCAGGTGTAATTTAATGTGTTTGAAGAGCATGACATACTGTACAATATACTTACAATATATTCATTAATTATATTACAGGGTCAGTCAATCGGCCATGTCTTTTTCAGAAGGACTATTTGATGGAACTGGCCCCGTAGGCGCATGTAAAAATGAGCCAGTATACATTTGGTCTTTGCCACCGGTAAATATTAGGCAATTTGTAGTTGATTTTTCGTTTAACGTTATTCCCCCCCTCCGTCTCCTGAGCTCACCCTAAATTAAACAAACATAAGTAACAAATTGATTGATATAAAGACCAGCATTGCTGCTGAATGTTTCGGCTTACTGTCGGATTGTTCGATACACTATATGTGTATTTATTTTTTTTTTGTTTAATTTCTCCACTTTCCCTGTAAATACGAAAAAATATAACGTTAAACGAAGTTTTAACTTCAAACAGCCTTATATAAGTATATATTAATTTATTTATTTATTAATTTTAATTACTCGTATTATGACATTATTTTATATATTTAGGGTCATGATTATATTTTACGAATGTATTATTCTTGTCTACGTTGGAACCAGACAGTTTCAAATAATAAACTTTATTTAGATCAATCTTATTCTTATGGTAATAAGACTTTAGCATCAATAGCAGAAAGAATATCCAAAAAATACAATATCAGTCCACCTCTTGATCCGATTTCAATAGCAGATATGTATTATTATTGTGAGTTCTGGGTCCTTTTCTTTAATCGAACTGACACTTGGTGTGGATTGTTAAGTGAGGATGATCTTATATTTGCTCGATATTATTGGAATATAATGGACTATTTTCTATATTCATATGGGAATCCTCTTAATGAGCAATTGGGTTGTGCCTACATTACACAATTTGTAAATAGCGTTGAGGATTACTTAAACGGGAAATCTCGGATGGTAGCTGACCTGAAATTTGGTCATTCATATACTGAGTTTATCGTACTTACTACGTTGGTATGTAAAAAATAAATTATTATCTTTCAATATAATTTATTAATTTATTTTATTAATTACTAATAAGTGCTATTTAATCATAGGGTGTATTTAAAAATGAATATCCACTTACAGCAGATTTAACTCTTGAACAAATGAAAAGCTTAAAGTATATAACACAAAAAGTTTCATATTGGGCTTCTACTATATACTTTGAAATTTATACTTCTCCAGGTAAAGATGCATTAATGCGACTTGTAGTTAATTTTGAACCATATATAATTCCGGGTTGTGATGGTGAATATTGTAAATGGAGTAAATTTAAGGATATTTTAAGTGGTAAGATTAATTGTGCTGTTGATAAGTTGTGTGCTTACCCCTAGTTTTTTTTACTGCATAGTTGAGAGTGTATTGATATATATTCATGTAGGTTAAATCAGTGATAAAATATGGGTGCTGCCAAGTGAAAACCAATGATATTGAAAAACAGTATAATTTGTTATTCTGGTCTTCACTTGGCGGCACACATATATGCATTGTGAATACGTTATTAATAAAGTTATTATTATTATTTACAATTTGAATATATACATGTTTTTACATAAAAATAAGATAAATATTTAATCATTAAAATGTAACTGTAAATGCAATAATAATTCTAAAATTTATAGAAAGTTAATTTCTTGATAAATGTTCATAAACTACTGTATCAATCCCAGTACAGAATTTTCCAAAGATTTCTTATTCACATAAGCTTAAAGGTTGATTGAGTAAAGTTTCAAGTATAAGAATGATTAATTAATAATACTAGAAGAAACCAGAATATAAATGAAAGAATAAAATTGAATACAATTTTTGAAATAAAACTCTAAAGTGTAGTTACTGCATTTGATCGAATTCCACAAACCAATTGTAAGTAACTTGCTATAAGAACTGTCAATTCATTATACGAAAGTAAATTTTATGCGAATTTTTTTTTATTTTTGTTATTCATATTTCGACAAAAAATAAATATGGCCTTATGTGTAGGAATACGAGAAAACACTATAACAAACGATCGCAACTCACTCATGTTATAGTGAAGTTTCCACTGTGAAATAATCACAACTTATATCGAGAAAATATTAGATATATTTTAAAAATTCCATAATACAAATTTGTCATTATATCAAGAGTTCACTATAACAAGGTGAACTATACATGGGCATACTGGTATTTCTGTTATTTAACTCGCGATTATATGTTTAGAACTCTATGATCATTTATAGCTTCGTTTGAATTATTTATTTGTACAAATTTGGTTACTATAACGAACTTCTTTTGGACATAACGAACTGTGAAATCTTAAATTTATATTATTGAGTTTGGAGGGTGTAGATTTCGTATATTCGATAATTTAATGTCATTTATACAATTTAATTCATTTTTTACTGTTAATTTTAAATCTGTTTGCGATTATTAGTTAATAATCAAGTTTAGCTTTCGAACATGTTTGTATATACTTTAGTCTAATATTAGTGATTTGTTTCGTCTCTTAAAAAATAATTAAATGAGCTTGACAAATTACAGCATAAAATCTTCTATAGAACAAATTTACATAACATAATTTTAATTTCAGTTGTAATATTCATCTCTACAATATTTCCAATGTTAAATAACGTAAATGTATGACTGATTTTCATGTATACTTGTAGAGTTTGAAAGAGTGCATGCAATGATTATATTTTGAACGATTCATAATATTTCTTTAATTTTTTTCGATTACTCATATATTATTTACTATCGTATTAAAGGTTTGAGGTGAAAGAAATAAAAAAACTAGCGAATTATTTGAAGCCATATTGAACAAAAAAAGATGAAAATGGATGATTAAAATTAAAAGTAAATTTTTACAAAATCAATATTAAAATCGGTGCGATTAAATTGATTAAATTTAATGTATGCCGTATTCCGATCGGTATAAATTTTAAAATGTCATGTGGCAATTCAAAATCAACATAAATCATGGATTGACAATTATAATTAAAGTTGATCCATTCATATTTAATGTTATCCTGATTTAAAGTTAGCGTTGGTTAGGCTTAAAGTCGGTGAAACGGGTAACCCGAAAATGAACTAGTTCATTGTTTATTTAGTGAGTAAAAAAAAAAAACAAAATTAGTCTAAATTTTAAATTATTAATTCATTTATACGCATTAAGTTAATATTGACTTAAATATAAAATGATCTGTTTAGGTTCAGAACGTTTATTTATTTACATGAACGTCCTGGATCTTGGATTTCGAAGTAACTAGATGTATTTCGTAATATAACCGGTATTTTCTGCAACATACGTAGCTAGATGGTATGCTATGATTGGAAAATTTTGATATTGATAATGACATAGTAATACCAGGAACGTAGTCATGCTTGCATAACGGAGTGTATGGTTTACTTCCATCTAGAATGGCGTGTACAAAAATCTTACATTTGATTGGATAACGTGATCATAGCGATTAGTGTTCCGCAAAAAAGAACCGGTTGAAAACAGCATTTTTAGTTGGCATAAAAGTGGTATTCTACAAAAGGTACCCGTACTGAAGATAATATATATAACAGTGCAGGAAAAATTACACCATAAATGGGCTTCAATTTGTATTTTCCATGTGCCTGTCACCAGTAGC